CCCTGAGATCAGCATCTGCAGTCTCTGGTGTGGCACGAACCACGCTACATCGTCGCATACAAAGCGGTCAACTTTTGGTTCATGTGAACACCGTTAAGCCGTTGCTCACGGACGTGAATAAAACCAAGCGGTTGGGGTGGTGCATCTCCAACGTCGAAACGGGCTCCCTGCATTTCAACGACATGTTCGATACGATTCATATGGACGAAAAGCTGTTTTATTTGACAGAGGTTAGGCGTCGCTACTATTTACTGCCTGGGAAACCTATCCCACATCGCCAAGTGCGCTCCAGCGCTACATCACCAAGGTGATAATGCTGGCTGCGGTGGCGCGTCCGCGTTGGGATCCCGATTCAAGGACCTACTTTGACGGGAAATTGGGCATTTGGCCGTTCATCGAACGGAAACCTGCTGTTCGTAGCAGCCCCCGGCGACCTGCTGGAACGCTGGTAACGATGGAAGGGCGCGTTAACCAAGAAACCTACCAAAACATGCTAATTCAACAACTTCTATCTGCCATCCGTGAGAAGTGGCCTTTTATTGTCCGTGGAGGCTGCGTCAGAGTGCTGCAAGATAATGCCCCCGCCCACATAGATACCAGTGACCAACGGTTTGCTACTGCTGTTGCTGAACAAGGACTTAACATCCAGCTTTGCTTCCAGCCGCCCTACTCGCCCGATCTCAACTGTTTGGACCTCTCGCTCTTCTCTGCAATTCAAGCTCGTCAACGTCTGAAGTCTTCAACGACCATGGATGAACTTATAGAGGCCGTCGCCGACTCGTACTGGGAGTTGCCTCCGTCGAAGCTGGATGCAGCGTTTCTCAGTCTTCAATGCTCCATGGACAAGTGTATCAAGGACGGCGGTGGCATTGCGTTTAAAGCCTCGACATATGGCGAAGGAAAACTTGAGAGGGAGGGGCGACTTCCTATCTGCCTGCAATGCTCTCCTGAAGTCGCGTCTCAGTACCACAAAAATAGTACTACGTTTCGTACTGAAAGCTAATATAATTATGGGACATCATTTTTAAGATAAAAAAGAGTAGTATGGGTCAACATATATGGGACGGAGTAGTACTCACCAACTCAGCACGACGCTTGGCTTTCATGAAGGTGACGATGGCAGCGACGTCAGGAAATAATTCCTTACGTCCCTGTTCTTTCATTGTCTTAGAGGTGGCGTGGCCAGTGAAGCTGAGCAGCTTGTCAGCCTGTTGCCACCACCCGTGGGCGGTGCCGCGAGCGCACTGCAGCTCCCGGGCCACCTCCTCCACTCCGACCTCCTGCATCCGCCGGACAGAGTCCCGCTTCTCGCGGAATCTGTAACTTCGCTGTTTCTTCTTCTTCTTGGGGGAGAGTTGTCCAATCTGCAGAATGAAAAG